ACAACAATCTAATTTTACGACCATGTTAACAACAATCTAATTTTACGACCATGTTAACCACGTTTAAATAATCAATGACCACATTTATAAAATCGATTTGAGTTCAGGACCATATTTACCACATCGATCTATTTTTATGACCACATTTACTATATCGATTTAAGGTTACATCTTTTTTAACCATATTGGTCTAAATTTACCACAGTATTTACCACGTTGATCTAATTTTACAACCATTTTTACTACATCTATCTAATTTTACAATGTTTACCATATTCATCTAACTACGACCATGGTAACCATATCTTACACTTACCAGATGTGTCTTGAGATGCGACTGCAAGGTGTATTTTGAGGCGAAACTTTTTTCGCACAGCGAACACGTGTGCGGCTTGGAGCCTGTGTGTGTGTGCATGTGTTCTGCTAACGTTGCTTTAGAGCTGTGGAGGAAAATTAACCTTATTACTATGGACACAAAGATCAAGATATAGAGTACGAATTGTTGGAAGTTGCATAAATTATTTTTGGTGTTTTAAAACAAAATACTAAAAACTTTTGTATGCTTACTTGTATTTTTTCTGGCAGACGTTACACTCGTGTAATTTGCTTTTGTCCGTATGTACGAGGTTTTTGTGTTTACCTTAAAAAATCAATACAATTTATTACAAGATTAATTAATACAAGTAATTAAATGGATGGACGTTTGTTACGAATTTGTAGCTTTTACTGCTGAACGGATCTCGATGAAATTTTGCATAGATTTAAATAATCTGAAAGAACACATAGGCAACTAACTTCTCTTTTTTTCATTCCATGCGGACGGAACCGGGGGCGAAAGCTTATTATTAATAAATGTCACTGGGTATGTGTTTGTCGTGAATTATATGTTGTACAACATGTTGCGAGAGAGTACTGACCGAGGTGCGCCAGGTAGTCTGCCTTTTTGCGTAGTATAAGTCCGCAAAGTGCGCAGATGTGTATCCGAGCACCGTGCGCAGTCCGCATGTGCTGGGCAATGCCCGCAGCTGAGCCTACAAACTGCGCACCTTCTGCGCACACATTATATTAACACAAACAGCAAAAAACAACAAACATAATGTAAATTCTAAGATAGATGTAAAAAGAGAAGGTTAAGGAAAGGCTCTCTGTGCCTTTCTTTACACAACATCTTAAAACATACTAATATAAGTGTAAAATTACGTTCACCAAATCGATGTATTTTTACGACCATGTTCACCAAGTCAATGTATTTTTACGACCACGTTCACAAAGTCGATGTATTTTTACGACCACGTTCACCAAGTCGATGTATTTTTACGACCACGTTCACCAAGTCGATGTATTTTTACGACCATGTTCACCAAGTCGATGTATTTTTACGACCACGTTCACCAAGTCGATGTATTTTTACGACCATGTTGACAAAGTCGATGTATTTTTACGACCACGTTCACCAAGTCAATGTATTTTTATGACAACGTTGATCAAGTCGATGTATTTTTACGACCACGTTGACCATATCGATCTTATTAACGACCATGTTAACTACATTAATGAATAATTTAAATAAACAGTGAAAGGCATTCTTCATCTTTCCCACAATGAAAATAAAACCAACCTGAATCATTTCTTTGGCAAATCAAACATTTGAATTGTCCATTTTCCCGAGCGATTATATCTAGCTGCAAAATAAATATTTCAAGACTATTACACTTTTTTTCATACTAATATTATAATTGGGAAAGTTTAAATGGATGTATGGATGGATGTTTGTTATAGTTTGTAGCATAAACGGCTGAACGGATTTCGATGCAATTTGTCATAGATATATTGATTAGTCTGGAAGAACACATAGGCTACTTACTTTTGTTTTTTTTTTAATTGCACGCGGACGGAGTCGCGGTCGAAAGCTAATAAATAATTAAAGCCCTATTAAACACAAATTAAATTATATTTCATTGGAGCCTTGGTTCCTGTGGGATACTATTGTTTAGTTAATAACAATACAATTAGTGCCTAAATAAAAAAAATCTATACTATTATAATAAAGCGTAAACACACACTTCTTTGTTGCCTAAGATGTCAGCAATTATACCATATTTTTGAATAATTATCTTTTTAATAAAAAGTCCTACACTTACGTCAGGCTTTAGGCTATATATTTTCACGCCACTAAACTTAGGGGGTAAATATTTTGTATAAAACCCCTAAATTTTCCTAATTTCATGCGGATGAAGCCGCACAGGAACTACTAGTATAACAATATGATTGTTGTTATAAAATTGACACAATATTCCGTCAGTTTACAAACTCACGAGCATGGCGTCGTCCTCGCCCGACACTTCCTCAGTCTTGCTCTGCACAGACTGCACGCGGAACATCTCGCCTGACTCCACTTTTATGAACGCACCGCCTTTAGTGGGAAAACATCTATTATATTATATTTATAAAAAAGCAACACGAAAACAATAATTAAATACGGACTAGAAAGATAGAAAAGTAGAAAGAAAGAAAGGTCGAACGAAAGTAAGGAAGGTACAATGAAAGTAAGATAGAAAGAAAGTAAGGTAGAATGAAAGTATAAAAGAGAAAATGAAAATGAGAGAAGTGGAATGAAGGTTAGGTAGAAAGTAAGAAAGATATAAAAGGTAGAAAGAAATTAAAGTAATTAGATAGAAAGAAAGTCAGAAAGAAAAGTATTATTGTAAAATAGCGAAACAAACATAAAAGAATTCATCGTTCACCAGAAAATCTGATATACAGGATGATCCTTAAGGAACAGATCAAAATATTTACATAATAATACAACCTTAATATCTATCCTTTGAACCTAAGATATATTCCATTATTTCCTATATTTCTAAAGTTTACTTGTGTACCTACCCTGTTCCTGCGCAGCCGCAATGATAGCGTTAGCTGTCTCCTCATCACCTGACACGTGCAACTCGAACTGAGACTCTGAGTTTGAATCTAAAATACAACACATAAATAATATTATAGACTAGGTTTTGCCCGCGATTCCGTTCGCATGGAATTAAGTGAACATATGTATTCTTACCGACTATCCTCTATATTTCTTACAATCATCGAGATCAGTAAACAGTTTAGGCTACAAATTCTAACAAACATTAGATGTTTGTAGCCTAAACTGCTGAAGAGATATCTATAATTGTCATAGATGTAGAAGATAGTCAAGAACACATAGGCTACTTTTTTTAAACTTCAAATGAAAGGAATCGTAGACATTGTATTACCTGTAACTTAAAAACTACTGGGTAGATTAAAAATTACATCATTAAAAAGCTACATTATCAATGAGTAACATAGGCTATATTTTTTAAGTTTTCAAATCTCACATAGACAAAGTTGCGAGCTACAACTAGAATATTATAACGAAGAAAGATTTGTATTTATTACACCATTAAAAAGCTATTATATTACTGAGTTACATAGGCTACATTTTTTATTATTTTTTTAATATCACTTGAGAAAGTTATTCCTTAATATTTCTGTAGTATTCTGAAGTATGTCCGGCATCCCTACCTTGTGTATCCTGCCCTTCCACGTCCTCTCTGTCGGGCAGCAGCAGGGAGATGTCCCCCGCGCCGCACACCAGCTGCTGGCCCAGCACGCGCAGCACCGCCCCCGCCCTCGCTGCACACACCACCCCGTACTTATATACTTTATACTATTATAATAAACTTACGTCACGCTTTAGGCTACATATTTTCACGCCATTAAATTTAGGGGGAAATATTTTGGATAAAAAGCCTAATGTGGGAAAGAGACCATAAGTTGCTGCCAACATAAAGGAAGCAAGGTTGCCAAGGTTTGTCATGTCATGTCATTTTGACATTTGCTATTGATAATTTGACAAATGTAAACAATAAAATAAAATGTTCATAATTTTATACGGATGATATCGCAAGAGAACAGCTAGTTTTTAAGTTACCGAGGTTTGAGTTATTGGTTGGAATTATTTGCTTTTCTGTATGTATATATATAAAAATAATTACAGCCTATGTTACTAATAACGTAGCTTGGTGTAAGAATTGAATCTGGCCTATTAATTTTTTATTTATT